TACATGGAGACCATCATTCAGCTTGGTGGACAAGACAATTGGAATCAGATGTAAGTATTTATAACTTTATAACAAGGTGATGCATAAAAATTGGCACTTGTTTAATTGCTGAACAATTTGTATAAAACCTAAATTTCATAAAAGTAAGTGATTATCGCTGTATCCTCACATTGGGGGTTTGATTTTCACTCTGGCTTTGTGAGTTTGAAGTTTCATGCTTTCTAGCTTTCTTTCTCACTCACTTTCTTTATTCTTCAAACCCCCTAGTTTCCAATTGATTATCCTTCTCTGGATTTTTATCAAATAAATATAAACAAAGTTTTTCTTTCTTTGGATGACTATTTTGTAATTTTCATATTTGTGGTACTGTTTTTTTTAGCATCATTGATCAACTGCAACAATTCTTACCTCTGAATACCACTTCTCGTGATATCACAGAGATCATCAGGGCAATCCTAGACCCCAGTCAAGGTTGGTCACTTACTCTGTTTTATGGGTATGTTTTAATAAAATTTCCTAAAACATCATTGAACTAACACTTGAACCAACATTTTGGTAACATACTCTTATTCAAGATATACTGTAGTTGATACATTGTAATGCATTGTGTTTCATATCTCAATATGACACTAAATGTTTTTTTTTGCTTATTCTTGCTGCTTCTGGTGTGTGAGCGTTGTTCAGACTTGCGAAAGTGAACTATGGTCATCTTCATTAGTTGTAAACTTGAGCGTGTTAGGTCCCATCGTGTGTGTGTGTGTGTGTCTATGTCTGGGTTGATGTCAATCTGTCTATCTATCATATATATTATATATAAAATGAATATGTTTTTGTCTTTTGTTTTTGTTGTGACTAGGTTCCTTAGATGAAATTCTGCAAGCCACCAATATGAATAACCTCACTGAAATATTTTACAAGGTAAGATGACTTGAATCATCCATCCATCCATCTATTCATCATCTACAACTTATCTGGGGTCGGGTCATGGGGGCAGCAGTCTAAGCAAGGATGCCCAGACCTCTCTCACCAGCCACCTCCTCCTGCTCCACGAGTGGATATCAAGGCATTCCCAGATATTGGAATATCTAGCAGGACGTATTGCAAAACTAGCATCCTGTAACAGTACCACACTTGGATTCATAGAGCTCTTCAGAATGACCCATTCTTTCACAAATGTTTGTAAACTTGATTTCATGACTAGGTGCTTGATTGATAGTTTGATTGATAGTGGCAATGGATCTGAATGAAACACCTGAATTCAATGCATAAGTGGTGTGTCCCAATACTTCTGTCCATATAATTTATATTTAATATTCACCAGTCATTTTTTTTTAAATATCAACATATTCATTCATTCAGTAGTTCATGAAAATAAATGGCTAGATTACTAAACAACATAACAAAACCTTGTGCTTCTCTTATTTGTGTAATAGGTTCAGGATATTGGGGCTGTGCTATTCCCTGGTAGACAGGTTTTGGCCCTGTCAGAGTCCATGCCAGCCCTGTTGCAGATCATAACTGGACAGGCAGACAACTCTACCTGGGAATGGTAGGAGTTTTAATCAAAATGAAAGGATAATAAAAATTAAATTGCACTAGTACTTAACTTGTGTGATTCTTTGGAATCATGAAGTTCTGATCTTACCTAATTGTTCACAGGAAATTTCTCCATGTTTGCATGAATATAGTAGGATTCTTAAATTGTAATTACCGCTTAATGATTTTTTTGCATTCTGTTTATGCCGATCTGAGCAAATACCATGGGCAGAGATCAGCAGGAAATGTATTGCAGAAAGGATGTTTTGTTCATTATAATTGTTTATCAGGGTTGAGAAGATGTTGGAACCCATTTTCAGCAAGTTTTCAGCTTTGGAGAATACACCATCAAATGGTCTAATTCTAAGGGAACTTGTCATAGCTATTGCTCATGACATCAGAACAGAGACAGGTAATGGGAATTATTCAGTATAGCCCAGTATTCTCACAATGTTACTGTCATAGTATTTAAGTGTTCCACTGCATCAAAACATCCAAATGTTCTATTATTTGAATTAACCCAATAAGTACGATTCAACTACTCAATTTATTCATGAGTGCCGGTCTGATTTTTTTTTTCCTAAGATATAATGAAAATAGATATGATTTATAGATATTCACCTGGACAGGAATTGATGGACAGGTGTATGATAATACATCTTGTATTCTAACTAATATATGTTTTCAGACCTTGTCTACAGGCTTGGTGAGCTGTTGGTTAATTTGACGTCAAGTGCTGTGCATACAACAAACTCAAGCATCTTTGAGGCTGTCCTGAGTACAGTTGAACTGGTGCAACAGGTAAAAAAGGTAGAAGTTCCACTCTGAGATTCAATAACACTAATGTCTGTGTGATATGTATATATCAATCCATCTACGGTAACAAGGGGCATGGAGCCTGTTCCAGACAGCATAGGGTAAAATAGCCTGGGGTAGACTCAGGATCAAGGGACATAGTTTTGATATGTCAGTAACATTGTCTGTAGTGTATGCTTGTGATTCTGTGTGCCCTGTATTAGACTATTTTGGTGTCGAAGGTCAGGGTATTATTTGCTTCATGCTCCCTGCATTGTGAAAGTGGTAATGGAAAATGATGGATGAATTCTTTGTTGTGAATTTGTTAAATAATCACAACCATACTGTGAAGGCATTGTTGGTTTATCTGGTTTGATGCAAGGTGCTCTGGTTTTCCTGAATATGCTGTAAAAATAAAGACCAGAATAATGGCATGTGGGAAAACTGTTATATATATTTCATTCATCATTGTATTTTTATGCATATATGGAAATATAGTGATACTGGGGCCTAATCTCCCATCAAACACTTAAGTCAGAAAAATGTGTAAAAAGTTACGCACGTTTCAGTTATGCGCATTCTCTCCTCATCTGTGCAGACACGCCCACAGCACTTAACCCAAAAAGAAGGCTCAGTCGTGCATAATTAATTCAAGCAATTATCAATTAACAAATCAAGCAAGAAAAGAGGGTTTCGCCCTCGGTGATTCTGCCAACAAGCAAAACATGCAACATAGCTACTTAATTTACATTGTGAACCTAATTGAAATCCACAGAAATCCTTTCGAAAGTGCAACCATGGTGGCAGCTTACTATGCTTATATTTGGTCATTCTCATAAGCATGAGAATCCTTCAACAAAAAAAGTTATAATGTTTGAATTCAGTGTGGAGCAATTGACATTACCTTAACTTATTACGTATGTTAAAATGATGTAATTTACAAAGGGGTGGCACAGTGGTGAGCACTGTTTCCTTACACCTCTTGGACCAGGGTTCGAGTCTTCGCTATAGCTCCATGTGTATGGAATTTGCATGTTCTTCCCATGTCATGAGTACTTCAGTGTCCCCCCCCTCCTCAAAATCTAAAAACATGCTTCACTTAATTGGAGTTAACAAATTGCCTGTGTTGGGTTGTTCCCTGCTTTTTGCCTGTAGCCTCTGGGATGGGATCCAGACCCCTCACAACCCCGAGCAGGGTATGTGGTTACAGAAGATGAATGGGTGTCAGTTATAGCTCTAATCCAATGATCTCTCAACCATTTCCCCCAAATAGGTACCACCATCACAGTTTTAATCAAATAACACAAAACTAGAAATGTATTGCAAGGTCCCACAATAGACAATCAATGAGTATAATAAGATGTGTTTTCATTTCTTCAATTGTTTTGTATTGCAATTGACGCAAATTTTTTTTAAAAAAATGACAGAAAATGATGTTACAGTAATGAGTTTGTAAGAATGACCTATACTGCCTTTACAAACAATTCCTTATACTAGGCTTTTCCCCTTCTTCATTCAGAACTATTTTGTTAACATACAAATATTCCTAGCTAAAACATATGGTATAAATGTTAGTATCATTAGTAACATGGACTGAAAGTTTAGAATCCATTTATAATGCAATGAAATGTGTAGTCCAAACCAGCTTATACACTACAGTGTAGGCTGCACTGACTTGTCACTATCGCTGGGGCCCCATATCTAGTGTACGTAGTCACTATATTGTAGTGTATGAATGAAGTATATGCATGTATATGAAAATAAAACAGAATTCAAAACTGAGCATTTCATGATCAACCCGGAAACATGTGATGCTCTCAGTGTCAGTCAGTTGAAGTACATCTGGATGAGAACGTCTCTGTCCCACTTTTACAGGAGCGCAAATACATGCACTACGGCTTAGCATTTTGAGGACACATTACTTCCCCTGAATCCATTTCTAACTCATTTTAATTTAAACAATTATTTTTTTTAACTGATGTGTCTTGTACCCCAATTAATTTATCTACGAGGCGTGTTGACAAAGCAGATGTCACTTGACTTCAGCCTAATGGTAATACACTAGTGTATATTTATACATTTCTACATTCTATTGTGTTATACAATTCTTAAATAATTTTATGAATTTTATTAATTATTCACATGCATTTTGAGTTGTAATATTTACTTCTAAACTTATAATAAATGTAAAAAGGTTTGTTTTGTTACATTTTCGGCTTTCTGAGCACTGCAATATTGCGTTTGGCCATGTAGAGGTAATTGTCTTAATATAGCCTTCCAGACCAAGTAGTGAAAAATGCACTTAAAAGTGCTTAAGCCAGCAGCAGAATGTGTGAAAGGGTGATTTTCATGTGACAGCCATATTTTGGTGTTTCGAAGCCCAAAGTGTATAGGTAACCTAGGTGCACTTAAACCTTACACTTAAGTTAATGGGAGAATATGCTTCAGTGAAAAAATCGTGCAGCTATGCGCTTCTTTGACTTAAGTGCATGGGAAAATAGACCCAACAGAGATTTATTTTATACACTGCAATATATGTTATAAAAAGCAGGGTGTGAGACATTGTCCCCATTTGTCTTCACCATTATCATAACTGTCAAATTCTCTCTCTTCAAATGTATCATCTGCGTAGTGTTTGAAAAGTCCATTGCCCTTTTTTCTTCTGCTTGAATATAGGCTGCAAAGGATGGTCTGGTTTTTGAATGTGCAGATGTCTTGAAGATGTGGGGAATGGCCATACAGCAAGAAGACATAAGTGAACCTAATCTAGTTATGTGGTGTAACACCAGCCTGGTCCCACTTATTGACAGTTACGTGTCCAATGGTTCACTGTTTGCACATCTGAATATCACAGTAAGTATTTGTAATTGTTTGTTATTTTTTAAGATTTCATGTATTGGACATCTGAAACTAAGATGTAAAAAAATTCAAGTTTTAACTAAATTCTGAAGGAACTAAATGTATTTAACTGAATGGATCATCACTGTAACTTATTCCATATTATCTCTACAGAAAGCCACAATGGCAGTGGATTCTCTGAACATTACAGCTGCAGATATTGTGACCGAACTACATTCACTTTACTGCGCCATACTAAACCACTCTGAAATAATCATCCAGCTCCTTGGAGACCTTAGTCAACCCCCCTCATGGCCTGTAGTATCAAACATTACTGGATGGAATGTTTCCATGAACCCATTCCATATGAGGTGATTTACTTATTATATTGTCATATTTCAATTAGTAAATTAAGTGTCACTGATTTTTTTTTTCTGAGAAAAACATCCGTTCCAAATTCTCTTTTATATTATGTAGTATAACTACCTTACAAAAATACTCCATTTTGCTGTAAGTGCCTGCATGAATGTTTTAATAATTAGGAGATAATATCAAAGCTGGGATTAAAAGTTATGTGTCACGGTACGGGATGAAGGCGAGCACATTTAGGGCTGAACACGAGGCAATGAGGGGGGCGTGGCACACATCGGGATCGTACGGAGCGGGATGTGACATTATGTCCTTATGTTATATATTTTTTCCAGTTTCCACACAATTTCTAGTATATGGTAGATGGTATGTTGGCTAGCATTTACCAGCATTTTGTTTTATGTTATTACAGCAATCTGCTAATGCCCAATGTTATCAAGCCCCTTTTGGAACAAGCTACAGAAGAAGCCCCGTGGATGCAGCAGTATTTGCTGGCACTGGAAATGACACTGAACTATACCCTCCAACATGCTCTCCGGTCTATGAATGTGACAATAACTCCAGATCTAATTAAAGATATTCTTCAAATATTCATGATTGGAAATAACTGGACCAAGGATTCCATTATCTCCTTTCTGCATTCAGCTACAAGTGAAAATAGTTCTTTGGCTGACAGACTGCCAGTCTGGCTCCAGATAATTGAGGATTGCCCTATGATAAATAACCTTACAAAGCAGTATCTGACTGCAGAGGAATCTAGGCTGCTTTTTGAGAAGATGTTGAATTTAACTGATTGGTGGAGGTTCTCCCAAACCACTGGAATGGAATTTGTATCAGAGGCATTAGTGAAAATATTTGATATAATCAAGGCCATGCTTTCCACCATGATTGAAAGAAATGTCACTCTGCCAAGCTACTTTGACATATATGTTGAGTTAATTGACAATGTCCTCAACATGATGAAGCAGTTAAATTGCCTTGGACCATGCCAATCTCATCCTTTTACCTATATTGTCTCTTTCCTTGAAGACCTTGAAGGACAACTTGCCGGTGGACAGACCTTGAGTGATCTCCTTCCTCATGCTCAAGTTTTCAGAAAAAGGTCAAAACGCGATGCTGAAACAGTTTTTCCTGAAGACATCTTAGACCTTGCTGATGTAGACTACAATGACTTGGTAAAAGTATTTTCCAACTTGCCTAGTACTTCAGACATCATGCAAACTATTAACATGTTCTTTGCAAACTCGGATTTGGCAGTTATTTTGAGAGGTGTTTCGAGAGAGATGACTGGAGATTCTAGCTTTGAACCGGCAATCAACAGGGCCCTTGACATGCTATCATCCATCACAGCTCCAGGAAACTGGGAAATGTATGCAGAAATGTTAACGCAAATTTCCCAACAAGAAAATGTGGGAAGCCTCCTGGACATGTTTTTGAAATTAGCCCTGCAACCATCTTTTGAAATAGCCCAAAATAGTGATAACATCAATTCTGACATATCAGCAGTTATAAAAGGGTTAATAGCCTCTTCAGCATGGCAGGAGCCCCAGAAAAACCCGACTACCTTCCTTGTCTTATTGGATCAGACTGTGGCTGCTTTTGCATCCTTCATGTCTGCGGAGCAGCTTATGTATTTCAACCTCTCAACACAGTTAACTAAAGCCTCAACAGTACTTGCCTATAATCCCAGAAATGTGGAAAAAGTTCTTCAGTCTGCCAGCATAATCTCTGGCTCTCTCAGCCATCTTCCAACCTACCCCAATGAGGCCCATGTTTTGAGCAGACAGCCTGTTCAGGATATATTGTATGAGTTCATTTTAAACAGCATTCTTGTTACTCAGATTATGGAGAATCTTACCATTTCCAACTATGCCTTGGGAAGCATGTCTGAAAGAGAACATTTGGTAGACGAGGTGTTTAATCAGGTGGTGTCAACTCTTCCAGTGGACCAGAGGAAGTACATCCTGGATCTAAATCCAGTAGTGTTGTCTGCCCTTAATAATATTTCCCACACTGCTGAAATTCCGCATTTGTTTGTCAACATCTCTGCACAAGTAGCTGCTTCTCTCTTTACCATACTGAATCTGACTGAACCTGCTAAACCTGAAGAGTCTTTCCATGGTGGCCTTGCTAGTACATTGTTTGCCATATCTGAACTGGTGTCAAGCACTCTGTGGAATGGCTTAATGGCGGATTCATCTTTGATCCGTCTATATGATGTATTTCAGTCATTAAACAATACGGCCATCTCATTGGCCTCTGTACTTCCACCAGATGCTAGTCAATACATTACTGATTCCCTACATGTTTTGGAGACTGAAGCAATTATTCTAAATAATACTGACATGGCTGGTGGAACACAAGGGGCTTTTTCAGCTATGATGTCCTCAGTTGAAACCCTTTTTGCTGGGCTACCATTCCCTGTCTCATCAATTCCTGACATTAACCTCAGTGATCAAGTGCAGACTTTTGAGATGATTCTACAGCTTTTCTCCTTAGACCAAAGCTCCTTTGGCCTGAATGCCACACACTGGATTGAAGAGTGAGTGTACATATATTATTATTATTATTATTATTATTATTATCAGGCAATTTTGAATACAATTTTCCAAATAATTTCAAACACAATAATCTTACAATTAAATTTTGTAATCAGAAAGTGAATATTTTTTTTCTTTTTTCTTGAGCATGAAATGAATTTGTCTGCGTGATTTGTCTTCTAGGAATTTACATGTGTTAAACTCCACTGAAGACCAAATTCTAAACCATCTGCTATATCCTGTTCTCAAAAACATATCCACTGAAGTCAGAGGTAAATAAACAGAGTAAACATAATTTCCTGGGAATCAAGAAGCAAATCTTATCTACAGAGGAAAACACATTTAATTTTTTTTTCATTTTTATGTTACAGTATATTGCAGAACACGTCCATGTTTACAACATGTGCCCAACTGACCATAAATGAATAGCCTTTACTACGTTCTTTGTTATATTTGCCTTGCTTTGTAGTTGAGTGGCTGGATTTTTAATCTGTTTATGACTTATTTTCAGTAAATTACCTGGGAACTTAAGTAAATGGTATTAGCTTGAGCTTCAAAATCAGCTGACACTGACATTATCATCTGCTTGCTTTTTTTGACTCATTCTGCCTTACAGAAGCTCTGATACTCATTCTTAAAATGGAACAGATGATCCCTAGAATCAATTGGTCAAATGAAAATTTTGCTCTTCAACTAGACTACATACTGGCTAAGGTAGATATTCTGCTTTCAGCTCTGAATCAAATACATATATTTTTATTATTTTATTAATAAAATAATTATTGATTGACATGAAGAAGCACCTGATATCCTAAAATTAACTATTTTTTCAGATTTTCAACAAATATTTTAAGAAATTGTTTGCCGTCTACTTTTACCACCACTTCAGTATAAATTTATTCTGATATACAAATGGTTAAATAGAACAAAATGTTGTCAGGCCTTCCTATAAGGGCAGGATCCTTGTATAATATTGAGACACCTATTCAAAACAAAGAGTATGAAAAAGAACATAACGTGGATTAACTGTATTACAAAACCACTTCATATACAGATGCTCCTTGCTTTACGATGGTTCAACTTACGATATGTCGACTTTACGATTGTGCAATAGTGGTGCACATTCAGTAGTTAACTCTGAATTCTGATCTGTATCTAACCAAATAAATTGTATTAATTCATTTACTTTTCAATTACTACTATTTAGTCAAGGGTGGTATGGTGGCGTAGTGGTTAGCGCTGTTGCCTCACCGCAAGAAGGTCCCGGGTCCTTTCTGTGTGGATTTTCGGTTCTCTCCCTGTGTTTGTTTGGGTTTCTGCTGGGGCCCTGGTTTCCTCCCACAGTCCAAAAGCATGCAGGGAAGTTTGAGTGGCAAGTCTAAATTGGCCATGTGTGTGCACCCTGCAGTGTGTTAGTGACTGCCCAGGGTTGATGCCCATTGTTCCTAGGATAGGGTCCAGTCCCCTCAGTTGGAATGAAGTGGTGATGAATGGGTATTTAGTTACAACAATTATTTATTTACTTATTCAGTGACAATAGTTATTGATTTCCTTATCACATCATGTTCATATTCGACATATTATATCTTCCACTTACAATGGGTTCATCAGAACAATAACCCCATCATAATTCAAGGAGCATTTGTACTTAATTCGAGAAGTTAATAATCATGCCAGACATTTTCCTGTCTTCAAGAGATGTCATTGTAATCGATTTCAGTGCCATTGTGGGCACATTCACTCCAGTGTATAGCTGCGAGTGGTCAATCAGCTTAAACTTTTCCTGTTTCTTTTTGCAGGTGTGTGATTTGGAACGGTTGGGCTTTGTCCAGAAGTTGCTCCAGGGCTTTCCAATCACACCTGGAATGCTATGTAAAATTGGCGCCACTGCCGGCAAAGCCCTCCAGATGGTCGGGAGGGGCCTGGTGGAAAATAATGCTTCCTTCTCTGAGTTACTGTTTGAGACATTCATTGGAGATCCTAACAAATACAAAATTAACAATAACTGGTAAGAAACACTGACTTTTGTTGTGAACGGTCACAGCTGTCCAAAATGTCTGAATAGAATTTTCATGTGAATTTTTTTTTTATTATTAGTATTCTCCATTGTGTCTATCCTGATCTCTACAACAACTTGTCTTCAGTTGGGTTTTATTTTTCTTTGTGTATGATAATAGTTTTTTTTTTTCTTTTTGGCCATGTCAAGACTCTAACTGTGTGCTTTTGTCTGACTGTTTCCATTTTTCAGGATGTCATACCTCTCTCAAAGTCTGGGCTTTGATGTGAGCAGTCTGAGTTTAGACAATGTGACTGTCAGCCCGCGAGGTACAGTGTTTGTGATATCTGAACAATTATCTGCCTCACATGGTATATAATGTAAGATGGAGCTGTGTGGTCCCGCAGTCTGTTTGCTGTTGTTTAATTACCCTCTCTGTAGGGGGTCTGTTCTTCCATCAGGCATGCAAGTCAAAAAATATGCTTAAAAAGTTATGTGCTTTTGAGACTGACTGACTCTACTCGCCAGTTGATGTTGAGCAAACCTGCTTCTTCTGTTGTTCTTGCAGCTCCAGTCAAACTGTCCACGTTCTTCGTAAATAAGACTGCTTTTTCCATGGATCTACAAAGTTTGACCAGTATTTCTCCAGAAATCATTGACCTTTTGATGAACTCAGTGGTACCCAACAACAGCTTACAGGTAGAGTCCTTAACTCGTAGGCACATGAACTTAAATAGATAGTTAACTCTAGAGAAATAATATATATATTAATGTTTCCTAAAATTATACTGTTTACTACACTGAAATCTACTTAGTACACTGGATTTTGTGTACTAGACTAGAAGCTTTTTTTGTTTAATAGGGTTGCCATACCCAAAAGTGTATAATAATAATAATAATAATAGAATGGCATCAGTCACTCATGAAACTCTGTACTGACATTTGTAATAATACCAATATTATTTGATTCTTAATAAAATAATCAATACTCTGTAAACAGGCTTTTTCTTTCATAGATTTTTTTTGCACATGCATTCGTGAAAGTTTCACAATGCAGTGCCTATAAGTGCAATTTCTTTTCAGTTTTGTTTCTTGGATTTCCAAACAGACATAATGACATTCTTTCTCAATTTCTGAACTTTTCCACAGGTTCTGAGTTGGCTAACTAACATGCACTACTGCAGAGACCCATCAGTTCTGGTGCTCAACCAGAACGAAAGCCTAATCTTCCAGTCTTTATGTTTGTTAACCCCTCGCGAGTGGTACAACTTTGCACTTGTGGGAGCCCGCTACATCAGTCTTGAGAACGTTATGTTTGAGGTACGCATTATATTTGACCATTTATTATACTCATTGTAATTTTACTCATGTTTAAGCTCTTGCCATTAATCAAAGTAATGAAAAGCTAACTGTGGAAACCATAATGTTTCAAATCTGAAAGTGATTAAGTACAGTACTTTAAGCGGTAATAATCACAGAAATGTATTGTGGAATAAAAACCTTTTTAAAGGAATGAAAAAGCTAAACCATGCTTATGTTTTACCTTTGCCAAACAATGCTAACTCTGCATGATATTTTTGTTCTGACGCTAGTTGATGCTACAGAGCCCATTAAGCTTTCTACTAGCCCTGCTGAATTCCTTGATGCACATGCTGACCAAGCTGCTGCCTACTATTGACAGTCTTGTACAGAATCTGTTGTCTGTTCGAGACCTCAATCTTATGGCTAACCGTGAATTTCGTGATGTGAGTATACCTGCTTTATAGCAACAGATTACCGAAAGAGTTTTAGACATTATGGTTCAGTATCTGCACTTTATATCCTATAATGGACATTGTTTAGGTTGGTCATTTTCATATTTTACATTATACTTCACTATCAGACAGTAATTTTCCTTAGATTTTAATGGTTCTGTTTTAAATCTGTTGCACTTTTGACATTACAGTGGTACCTCAGTTCTCTAACTCATTAGAACTCGAATTTCTTAAAAGTTGAACCAACCAGTTTGAAAAAAAATTACCTAGAACTCGATCTGAATCTCATAAGTCGAACCATGAACGCCGACCTAAGATAACTTGTACGCGTGGGGAAATGAGTCACGCGGCACGTCTCTCAGTGGAAACAAAGGGTAGCGCTTCAGTCTCAGCCTCGCATTCGCTGTGATAGCACCGTGCATGTTTACACTAGCTGAATACATATATTTAGACAATAAAAATACATTTATACAATGATAGACAGTAACAGTAATTATTATTATATAATAAAATACATTTAAAAATAAAGATATCTTATTATTTTAATATTAATAATAAACCATTAATACATTTAATTATAATAATATTGTCGTGCCCAGCGGGGACTGAACGGAGACAAAGGCGCAGACGTCAGGGTATCGGGGAATATGGGGTTTAATTACAGGTAAGGCAGGCAAAACGCAGATGGACAATACAATGACTGGACTGGGAACGGACTAAATACAGAGGACAAATGACAACAAGCAGAACCAACTGATCACACGGGGATTCCACACGGGGTTAACGAGGGGGCGTGACACACGGAAAGAGCGGACGATCGGGGCAGGACACATTGTTTTGTTTTTTTTTTAACTTTACACATTGTTTGGATACATTTATTTTCTTCCTTCAAAAATTACTGTTTTGATAAATGTGCTTAGATGTGTTTAGTACAGTATATGCTTTTCTTGTTTTGACCGGTTCATTTTGTGTTTAAATGCTAGAAAAAACATATTTCGGTGTAATTTTTTGGGGCCGGGAAGCAATTAATTGGTTTTCCATTATTTCTTATTGGGAAATATCGATCAGAACTCAAACTTTTTAGGATTTGATCCGGAGTTCTGAACGGATTAAGTTCGAGTTATGAGGTACCACTGTATTTAATTCATTGAAATATTTGTTTATTATTCTCTGATTTAATGTTTATTTTAAAAAATCAAATAAAAATTCTGTAAAATTCAGTACAGTAAGAAACGCATCGGTTTCTTATATTGCATTTTTTATATTAAGTGCTGTTCAGTGACATAAGCCTCTGTGTGTCCTACTCTGTGTCCCCTCAGTTGGTCATTGGCACACGGGCCAGCATCTCCAGCCAGGCCACCTTCACCACTCTCTCCAATGCCTTGTGTACCAATGGCATATTGTCTCTTTTTGGCATCTCCAACCTGCCCATTGGCTCCAGCTCTGGTCCCTCCACTCAGGGAGACACTGAAGTTGAGCAGCTCGTCAAGAAGTTTAACATTCCACGTGATGCCAGTACGGCAAAAGTCATACACACCTTTAATGTGAATAACATTGTGTCAAGATGTAAATAAAAATTATTTGGATTTTATGTTGATATCAAAGTGTTGTTTCTGTTGTCTGTTGTTTCAGCTCCATTTTGCAAGAACTTATTCCTGGACATGGTGAACACAACAGGGGGAGCTGTGGCTTGGGCCTTCCTCAAGCCTATGCTTCTGGGACAGGTCCTCTACAGCCCTGATATACCTTTGACTAGGAAGATCATGCAGGAGGTACTTATACACATAAATAAATAAGCACAAACCTTATCATGAAGAGAAATTTACAACTATATATTACACACACACACACACAAGTTGGTCTTCCTACTATTTCTATGGGAAAAACCATAATCCATAAACCATAATCCATAATCCATAAACCATAATCCCAATCACGACACCCTTTTTTTTTTTTACTACACTTTGGGGACAATTTGGTCCTCAAATGTGATTTATGCAAACACACACACACACACACACACATATATATATATATATATGTATAATTTCAGATATGAGACATAGAACATTTAAAATGTTAAAAATATTGTTGCATTATATTGAATTTTCCTTCATTTTTTCATTGTTTGTTTGTTTATTTGTTCTTGTTTAGCATTATTTCCTGCAGTAAATATGAGTATACCTCAGTAACAACTAGCAGTTTTATTCCCTTGCACTAGAGCAGGTGTAGGCATCCTGGAGTGCCAATATCAACCAGGTTTTCTTTCCTACCTGATGAAATCAGGTGTGGTTCATCAAAGGCCAGGTAGGATAGAATAGCCTTCTGGACACTGGCACTCCAGGATCAGGGTTGCCTACCTCTGCTCTAAATACAGTTAATGTACCACAGACAAACTCTAAACTTTGTCTCTATTTCCATACCGTTCATTCTTATTTAGCTATTATCACCTTCTTCAAACAGCAATTTGCAACTTCGTAATGGTTTTTTCTATTTCTTTTTTCATTTTTATCTTCCAGGCAAATACCACATTGCAACAATTTGCAGATTTAAAGTTATTTTCTCAAGAGTGGCTTGAATCTTCCTCCTATGTCATGAATTCCGCGAAAGTTCTTCAAAAAAATCTGCCAGTGCTACAGGTAAGTTAATTAGTAGAAATTCCTAAAATATCCCTGAAATAAAAGATAAAATTTGAACATTGCATGCTACAATTGGCTTAAGTACAGTATACACTCATAATATTATTCTGTTAATATTAATCACATCAATGCTTCATTTACAGAATTCCCTCAGTAATCCTTTTGTCCAAAGATTCATCCAGGTTGAGACAAACATTGACGTCAATCAGATGAAGGACGCATTTAACAAATTTTGTGAGTTCCCCGTTGTTTTCCATTCCATTTCAAATGCTTGTCACAGAAATTGTTGTAAGTTATACCATGTGATTTTTCATGACCCCAGGAGTTACTTTCAATCATAAATTTGTGTCCCATAAATGTAACAAAATGAAGGAATTACCTGACAATAATCAAATATATACATGCTGGATTTTCATGTTATCTAAAATATGTGCTGCCTTCAACTTACAATGTATGCCTGTATATATACTCATATGTCTGAATAAATCCTGCAAATTTGACATACAGTCTAACATACACACACACAGTTATACGTTGCGGGTATTCTTAGATGGCAGTTAGCCTGACTGCGTTTACATGCTCTGTGGGGGAAAAGCAGAGTACCCAGAGGAAACATGCGTGACATGGGCAGAGCACTTAAATTCCACATTCACAGAGTGGAGGTAGGGTTCACTTCAGCCCAGTTACTCACTGCCCTGTGCCGTTCACTTCTTTGAATAGGATCAAGGCTCCCCGTAACCTTGTACTCTATATATGGTTATGGAAGATGGGTCTGTCTTTACATTCAGAATTGTTGGATTTCTTCATTTTTATTCATTTTATTCTTGAGATAAGCATAAAATTAACAAATGAAGCAAAATAATTCCTAAATAATTTTTTTTTACAGCTAACATCACAGCTCTTCTAATTGAGAACAAAGCAATCATTCAGCAGATCTCCACCTTATCATCATTAATGCTGAATCTCTCCTCCTGCGTGAGGTTTGACCGCTTTCAAGGTTTCAACTCTAGTGAAGAGCTTGATGCACTTGCTGAGAATCTGACTCAAACCCGTGACCTCTATGCCAGTAAGCCCACTCAAAAGAAATCTTTAGCTCTATGAGAAAGACCATCATCTAGTGGATCTTAACCACGATGGGCAATAGTAGCCACACTTGCTCATTGCCTTAAATATTATGAACCAGAAATATATTTTTAACCTAGACTGTGGGATACATTAATTTATAAATGAAATAAATACTTATTCCCTTGTGAATTTTGTTAATCTGTTGTCTGGTCTTTAATCAAATGACTGCTCAATCATAATAAGACTAATTTACTGGTCACTCATATTCTCTTGAATGGTCACATATATAAAACATATATTTGCTTTCCTTACCCTTTCTCAGGTATCATATTCAAGCTGCCGAATGTCACTGCTTCTCCCTCTCGGAAAAAACGGGATTCCTCCAGCGACCCCCTTCCCCCCAAAGTGAAATACACAATAAGAATGACTATTGACAATGTCATGCGCACGGACCGTACCCGCAATACCTACTGGGTGAAAGGCCCGTACATCTCGCCAAACCAGAACCAGCTCTACAACAGGGGCTTTGTGTACCTTCAGGAGAGCATAGAGCGCGCAATCATTGGCATGCAAACAGGAACCCAAGTGGAAGAACCCGCAGTGCAGCTACAGGCCTTCCCCTATCCCTGCTACATCAAGGACCAGTAGGCACCCTTGTCTCATTCACGCACTGCACATGCAGACATGTACATTGCCACACAAAGAACAAATACACTGCATGGCCAAAAGTATCTGGAAACCAGCTTGTCCAACATCTCATTCTGTAGCCAAGGGTATTAATATGAAGTTGGTTGGGCCATTGTTGCCATAATACCCCTGTTCTTCTGGGAAAGCTTTCCATTAGCTGTTGGAACATTGCTGATGGGATTTGCTGTCATTCAGGGATATTCATGCTGGGTTATCTGGTTTATTTTCATGAGCTTGTATGACTGACCCAGAGATGTTCACAAGTCACAAAATTAGAGTCCGAGTCAAGTCTCAAGTCTCCAACGTGGTTCCAATTTGACATTGGATGTGATCAACAAATTAGAACATTTCTGTGTATGTGGCAGCCAAACCAAACCATGCCGGACTCCGCCCTCAGTTACGTTAAAGTGATGAGACTCCATTTGTCGTGTTGCTAAAGTAAATGCATGTTAAAGTAAATCACAATTTTGATTTTTACACATCGTTCTAAAGCAAAAACTCCAATTAATGGATTAAATTGATTTGTCTCTCAGCTCGTGTGTGTGCAAGTAAATAAATAATTCTGCAAGTAACAGCGCAAACTCCATGTTAAAAAGTTAAAGTAATGCGTGCAGTCGGGCTGCTCCTTTAGTTACAGGAGAGCGGTCAGTGATTTCACTGTTCAATTGAATTATTTGCTGCCGTTGTGTTTTTACTTTGTTAAAACCATTAAATATGAATGCGTGATGGAAAATCGAATAATTTAAGACATAACACTACTTGCAGTACATGGGTCACAATGAAGAGGTGCAGGCATCCTGACTTGGAATGATATGTCAGAAATGTTTTGGGATATACCTGCTAAATTATGTTTTTGGGATGTACCTGCTAAATTATCAGATTTTTGGCCGATTTGTGTCACTGTTTAATAACACAATGTAGGCTATATACAATTTATGACATCAGGGTAAGCAAAGTCTATTTCTAAGCGGTGCAATCTAATGTAAAACAACACTCAGAATAACACTCGGAATACCCCGCACTTTGTCATATCGGGTCTGCAATTTGAACTAGTGGCAAAACAAAAAACGTGTTGTTTGTTGATACCGCCTGGCATCACGCTTCTCTGGCTCCAGTTCATGTGCTCTGCGCACAGCCACACATTGTGATGTGTGTAATGCCTTTACGCTTTGGGGAGTGTTGTACACTCAAAGCTTTACATGTGTAGAAATTTCACCAGAGTCTTAAAGACTTATTCTTCAAGAGTCGCTATCAACGAGTCAGAGTTAAGTCCGAGGGAAAAAAATGATGTCAGTATTATCAGTATGTAACCATATTTCAAACACGCATCAGAAGTAAATTTAAGAGCAACTGGAGTACAACTCCAGTTCCAGTCTCAAACTCGAGTCCCCATCTCTGGGCTGACCTGAGCTGAACTTACATTTATGGCATTTTGCAGATGCCCTTACGTAAGTGCTTAGAGAAATTGACATGAGTGGGAAAGATTAGCGATGTGAGAGGAAAAGGACAGTCCATGGTTACCCCGAGGTTCTGGGCAGTGACCAGAGGACAGATCGTAGAGTTCAACCACCCATTCTGCTGCTAATGTTTGCTGCATGAGACTGCATGACAGCATGCACACCTGTGTTAGCAATAGGTGTGACTTAATTAGTCAATTTGTCTAATTAAAAGGGGTGTACACATTTTTGGCCATATAATGTATGTACCTATTAATTTTTTGTGCAGACATTTTCAATACAGTATGTAAAACTTCTTATTTATTGCTTCTGAAATCTTGATTTAACTATTTGTGATCATGATCACATTAAAGTACCTGACAAACACAGCTATATCACATTCATGCTTTTTTCTTTCACATGTTTACCCAGAGGCAATGAAATTTTATCAGCTCACAAATACCTTTGATTAAAAATACACTATACACTCAAGTAAAGCAAATAATCACCTGGAAGTAAAGTATACCTCTTTACTAAGTTTCTCCACTATTTCACTTCAGTTAATTTTCTTAATCATTTTTTTTCTTTCTTTAGGTACATCAACAGCATGGCTTTTGCCTTTCCACTGGTCCTCATGATTGCTTGGGTCCTCTTTGTCGCCAATTTTGTGAAGAGGCTGGTTCATGAGAGGGAACTTCAGCTGCATGAGGTACATTATATACTCCATACATATTTGTATTAGTTTAACCATTTTAATTATTTACTGTATCTTCATGTGTAAATAGCTTGCACATGAGTATATAACACACCCATGTATAGCCTGTGGCAAATCATCATTTTTGTAAGTAATGGTTTGCATTACCAGCACCATTATATTACCCGTGGATTATACTTCATGAAAATTACAAACCTTATAGTGTCTGCAAGGTATTTCAGAAACAAAAGTGTTCTGGGCACTTATCAGTACAGGTAGAATTTGCAGTGAAAATTAACAACTTTACCAACTTTGTCTGAAGTTATGCCTTGATCTGCAATGATTGTGTTTGAGGTTCTTTATAATGGTTCAGTAATCAGTTGAAAATTGCATGCACTTTCAATAATTATTTTATATCATTATTTTACTTGTTTTAGTAATATATTTTGTTTATTTAACATTTGAAATTCTAGGTGTACAATTTAACACACTCATCTATGTACAGGAAACTGTAAAGCTACTACCTGCCCTACAATATATAAAAGATGTTAAACTGACCATAGAAAGCCTTTGCTCTTGCATGGCCGTTTGTTTAAACAGGAAGCACACGGTTTACATAATAACTAATGGCCTAGAGATTAATATTCTATTAATATTATATTCATAGCAAAGTTTGTAGCACGTCTGCCTTTGAGATGCAGGGAATTTTATTATTAGGCTTCCGAGTGCCTGTTTAGTGTTTGAAATATGATAACACAAAATACTGTCATCTCTACTGCTTTTGTAGAAATGTAAATAGGAGTAGAACCCACACTCTTGCTATGCCACCCCCCCCCTGTAGGCCTTTTTAGGAAATATAATTATATTAATGCTGCAATATTGGTTTTTAATCATCCCTTCATCATGTGAACATTTGAAAGGATGTGTGTTGTATGTAAATTGAATAATGTAATGAATTAGGGTCAAGAATGTATGCGTAAATTATATCAAACCTGGATACAGTTTTACCTTCATTGGATGTAAGTAATAAATTAGCATTTGTTATTATTATAGTTATTATTTATTATTACATTGTGAATATAAAATACACCAATTAACTACCTCATTACTAAATCAACAATATAAAACCTACCGCAGTCACTTTCCTTTGTCCTCTCTACAGTACATGAAGATGATGGGCGTTAACCCAATCAGCCACTTCTTTGCCTGGTTTCTGGAGAGCGCAGTCTTTTTGCTAGTGACCATCATCATCCTAACCATCATCCTGAAGTGTGGGCAGGTGCTGCCCAACAGTGATGGCTTTTTACTGTTTCTGTATCTCTGTGATTACGGCCTCGCTATACTGGCCATCAGCTATCTTGTCAGCACATTCTTTGACAGGACCAACATTGCTGGGCTTAGTGGCAGCCTCATCTATATCATCTGCTTCTTCCCCTATATCGTCATTATGTCCCTGGAGACCTCGTTTTCCTTCTCCGGAAAAAGTGCACTGGTGAGACCCATAAACATAAACATAGTCATAAGCAATATTTCAACTCTGTTAGTGTTTATATAGAAATAACCTTTTTTGGAATATTTAGATGACCTACCTATACATCATGCACATAACAAGGAAAATTCAATACCTCACTCCATAAATCTTTTGATATTTCTGTTCAACAGAGTCTCTTTGCACCCACCTGCTTCAGTTATGCCAGCCAATACATTTCTCGGTATGAGATTCAGGGAGAAGGTATGATGCCTTTGGTTTGCACCGTTCGCTGTTAGTCTTGAATTCAGTTTGTACAATTTAGTGCAATTCAATATAAAATATGACACATATGTCTCTACAGGGATCCAGTGGAGTAACTCATACATCTCCCCCATGGATGATGACAACTCATCCTTTGGCTGGTTCTGCTGGTTACTCCTAATAGACTCTATGCTCTACTTTCTTATAGGCATATACATCCGTTTTGTCTTCCCAGGTAAACACCACTGTAGTTCATAATGAGAGTATTTGTGGTGATTGCACTAAGTTTGATCAAATCCTAAACTTTGAGTTCTGACTGTCTCCGCAAAGGATGTGGGTAAGCTCACCACTTTGTCAAAGTAACACGTTTGTCGCCGTTCCATCAGGGAAATATGGCATTGCAGTTCCTTGGTACTTTCCAGTAATGCCCTCCTTTTGGATGGACCTATTTGGATGCAATTCAGGGACAAAAAGAGGTGGACGTGGGTTGCTTTTTACAAACTTTGCACAAAATAACCAAGCGGTTTTTCCAGAAGACAAATACAAAGGTAATCGTTAGAGGCGTTACAGGTTTTTGCATTTTGTTGCCTAATTCCTTAATTGTTGTAAATTGAAATTCTCTGTCACAATGACAAGGACATTTTAACAGATTTTTTTCTGCCTACTATTTGTATTCATAGGAGAAAGTGGGTTCACATCCCAGACAGAGGAAGAGTTCTCAGGACTCCCAGTTGGAGTGAATCTTCATGGCCTGACAAAGATGTATGGAGACCGAGCTGCTATCCAGAACCTTAATGTCTGCTTCTATGAAGGACATGTCACCACTTTACTTGGCCACAATGGGGCTGGGAAGACCACAACCATGTAAGAAAGTTATTTTCTCTATTTTTTTGCATGTGTTTATCTCTTTGCAAGTATTTCTTCAAATGATCAAACTTTACAAAACAGAATACAATCTGTAATAACAATAAAAAAATTTGGGGACCAAAATCCAAAATTTAATTTATTTTCCAAATGAAACCAGATTTTCTTCTGCCTTTATTTAAATGCAAGACATATAACCTCAAATTAAAAAAAAGTAAATGTATTGGAAACTGTATTTATATACGGTAAGCTATTATACAATTTTTAGATTTCATTTGAAGGTTTTCAATGTCTAATGTTGGAGCCATTTCTGGGGTCCAAAAGGTATCAGATGCAATTAAACTCATGGTAGAACTTTCCAACTAGCATTTATTAGTATAGAAATGAAACAGTACTTGGAATGAAATTTGGGGCTGGGGCCTGGAGCTAAGAAAGATATCCTGCTTTATATGTTATTTTCATGCTGATTACAAAAGTTAGAGTCACAACTGAAAATACGCATGTCTTCTGTATATCTTGGCTGAATGTTCAGATTGCTCTGTTTGAGTTCTAATGAATGTTCTTGACAATAAAATATTGATGTTTGTGGCTACAGGTCCCTCCTCACTGGTCTCTTTGGTCCCTCTTCTGGCTCGATCGAGGTGTATGGCAAAGATATGCAGGGAAGCATCAGTGAAGTCCGTAAAGAGCTGGGTGTTTGTATGCAATATGATGTCCTCTTTGACCACTTGAGTACCAAGGAACACCTGTTATTGTATGGGCAAATTAAAGCCCCACATTGGACACATCAGGAACTTAAAGAGCAAGTGCGCAAGTGAGTATGAAGTACTATTACCAATTCATCAAAGATAAAGCAATTCAGGAGCATAATTAGGATAGGAGACAATTGTGAATGCTGACCATACTCCATTCTCAAAAGTGAACCCAGCTATAATACTCAGATGACAAAAGAGATTGGCCACATGTTTTGCATTGGGCCTGAGAGTTTTATCTCACGGTCAGGTACTATACATAGCCTGTCTTTGTAGAAAACACTGTTATTTAACTCAGGGATGTTTCAAGTTTTTGAAGCATGAATTGTCATGTTTTTTCATTCAGAATCTTACAGGAGACTGGGCTGTACAATCATCGGCACAAGCGGGTAGGCAGCCTTTCAGGGGGCATGAAGCGGAAGCTGTCTATCTCCATTGCATTCATTGGTGGTTCTCGTCTGGTTGTCCTGGACGAGCCAACCACTGGAGTAGACCCCTGCTCAAGACGGAACATCTGGGACATCATCATCCACCAAAAGAAAGGTAAGATACGGTGGACTCTGTAGTAAACCATGCACATTTTTTTAGAATCACTATCCATGTTCATTAAGAAATAGTGAAGAATTCATTCCATATTATAGTTTCCTGTGTTTGTGTGATTGCATTGTCAGCTTCCTGCAAATTTAATTTGGGAGCAGCAAGTGACAGTCTTTGTCCATTTACCCAGAACGCACCATCATCCTGTCTACCCACCACCTGGATGAGGCAGAGGTCCTTAGTGATCGCATTGCCTTCCTGGAGCGTGGAGGTCTGAAGTGCTGTGGCTCCCCCTTCTACCTGAAAGACAAGCTTGCACAGGGATATAATCTCACCCTCACCAAGAAGGTACAGAAGACTTCTTGATGAGCATATGAAATGCATGGACTAACCTTTCGCACAGTCTTCTTTGTTAAAGCACCTTTCATCTGCCACTATTATTTCTTATTGTCTCTACTTATTTTTTCACTATTTTTCTGATTTGTTAGGTGCAGGTTAACTCAAAGGAAAAGTTTGACAATGAGAGAGTGAAAGCCTTTGTCCAGTCTTATATCCCAGAGGCCCATCTAAAGGAGGGAGAAGTGGGAGATATGGTTTTTATGCTCCCTCCTTTCAGTTCCCAAAATGCGTTGGCCTACCGTACTTTACTTTCCAACCTGGACAGTAACCTGGATGCATTGCAGCTTGGATGCTATGGTATTTCTGACACAACTCTGGAAGAGGTGCGGAACAAACTACATATTCACATATATTCACAAACAAAAAAAAAACTCACGTATGCCAAACATAATTGTAAATATCCATTCTGATGTACATAGGCTCCATAGCCCCTTGCAGATTAATCACCAGTGAATTTCATTCTATAGGTTTTCCTCCAGCTGACCAAAGACAACACTCAGGATGATGAAGGCGGTTCACATTCTGCATCCGAATCAGTGTTGGACTTGTCTACTAATAGAGACAGCATGCCTGAAGAACTCTCAGTTAGCAGCTATAACTTAGACGACAGACAAAGTAAGTTCCTCCTACTTTACTTGCTGGATATAGTGTATAAATAATCAAAACGTACAAGAAGCTACATAATCCACCAATCCAAGTCTGGGGTACACATTAATATGGGATGCCAGTACATTGCAGGACTCATATATGCAGCATTCATATGCTATGGGGGATTTAGGTATGCCCCTTCTCCTAACACCATGTCCTCAGACTGCAGCCCTGCTGATGACAGTTGCTACTGTCGCCAACTACTCCACTGTACTACCCATTAATATATGATGTCAGCTGTTATCATAAGCAGGGAGTTTATTGGAATGATATTCAGTAACTGGGTGGCATGATGGCTCACAGACCTGGGTTTGGGGTTCATATTTCAGTTGTTTATGTGCGGAGTTAGCATGATTCCCCCATATTGCACGGGTTTCCTTCAGGTGCCCAGGCATCCTGTCCAGGGCATGCCCTAGTCGTTAGCATTGTGATGCTCAGGATAAGCAGTTAAAAGGATTCATGGGTGGGTTTTATGAATTTGAAAAGCGCTTAATAAATATTCATTCATTCATTCATTCATTCATTCATATTCAACAAACATATTGCTGGGTCAACTGAAAAGAAGGTAATGTTGCTGTAGCAGTTAGCTTTGTAAGTAAATTATGGAAATTCACAGCCAATATTAACCCTGCTGAATTTGCTGAAATTCATTCCTTCAGCTCTGACTGGCTCCCCAATAGTCCGAGGTGTTGCCCTAATTGGCCAGCGGGTGGCAGCAATGCTGCTGAAACGAGTGCACCACTCACGACGGGACTGGAAGGGCTTGTTTGCTCAGGTTTTGCTGCCTGTGCTGTTTGTCATTGCGGCCATGGGCTTGGGCTCCATCAAGAGCGACCTGCAGTACTTCCCTGAGTTGGAGCTCTCACCTGTCCTCTATAGCTCAAGCCAGCAGCAGTACAGTTTCTTCAGGTCAGCCATTACAAAAGCATTCATACACACACACACACACACACACACATTTTTAACATGTAATGTGGAAATCAAACTAATTAAATTACAACAATAATATCTATTATGTGACATGTTAATTAAATGAGTTTATTGCAGTATACTACAGTATGTGTTATACCTTTTTATATTATTGATTGAGACATGTTTTCTTGTTAACAGCAATGAGAATCCTAACTCAAGTTACCTTGTAGACACAATGTTGTCTTTCCCTGGAATTGATAACAGATGCCTATCCAATCCTGCTGACCCGTATGTATTTTGTTGTCCTGGAGATCTTTCAATATATTTCTGATACTTGCTGCCTTATGAACAAATTAAGGTTTACAAAAGTCTTCTAAAGAACAAATACCAAAAACAACAACAAAAAAATGGTACTGCTTTTTAAATTATTTAACAGAGTTTAACAGATAACATTTAGTACATAGTTAGCTATACAGCGCTTCACCTAATACTGAATGAATGACTGGGAGATAATAAGCACTGACATGCCATGTGTGATACCTGCTGTAATGATTACAATGATTTTTATTCAGTCAATATCACTCATTCTGTGAATGTCTCCTCAGGTCTTGTGTAAAAACCAATACGTATTGGGCTAATTCCTGGACTACAAATGGAAATACATCAAATGCTTTGCAGAAATGCCAGTGTTCCAAAACAGCACAGGTGAGTGACGAGCTGTTTAATAACAATAATAATAGTAATACCTAAGGGCACTTCCATACCCAAAATGCATGCTGTTTCTTTTGAACCAGTCACTCTAAATTTCCCTTATTGTTTTAAAGGGTTGTGCAAAATTCAGAATTTATGAATTGTACCCCATCCCATTCATGAATTGGAATTTGAATTGAATTGGCCAAACTCTACAGGATATTGAATTGGAATTTGAATTGGAATGATGGAAAGAATAATTTAATTCATATCAGTTCAAAGAAATTCAATGCAACCACGCAATATAAGAATGTACTTTTAGCAAAACAAATATATATTTTCAGTTCAAATTCACAAATTGAATTGGAATTTCAGGGTCATTCTTAAATCAATTATGAATGGTACACAACCCTATTGTATAACTATGTGAATGTATGTTAGCGTTTGAATGTGTATGTGCTGTGTTGTACTGTGATGAGTGGCATAGCATCCCTGTTGTGTAATGTTACAGGGTTGCCAACTCTCACACATCTGGTGTGACACTCATGCTTTCAAACTCTCACGCTAACACAAGAAATCTTATGGCAAATCTATATTATTCTCTTATAAATCTAAAATAAGTTATATCAAAAGTGTTGGGGTAGTTTGCAAACCCCATGTTATATACACGTAAATGCATGTGCATGTGTGTGCAGACTGGTTGCGAATTTAAAACCTCACTCTAGCCAGCTGACCAAAGTTGGCAACCCTGCTGTTATTGCCAGAAAGCTTAATTAGCATATAGTAATATGTGGAAACTATGATGTAAAGTGAATGTGAGGTGCATTTGCTTACCTTTGCTCCTTAGGTCTGTTCCTTCGCCTACCAAGCACCCTGTAAAAGAATCCCTTCGTCCCAGATAATTTGCAACTTAACAGGAATTGACACGGAGAACTACTTGCTGACTACCAGTAACAAATACGTCCGGGACAGGTAAAAATCTTCGCATTGCCGCCCATGCTGCATGAAAAACTGCATTTCTTCTACTACATACAAATACAAGTTCAATTACGGTCAAAGTACCGAAACAAATCCAGGGATGTTTTAAGGGCCTGTTTAAAAGGGGTGATAAGAACATTAAAATTCTGGAGATAAACCTAAATTGGAAATCCTTCCTTAGGTATGGTGGATGGGACTTCGGACAGCCACTTCCCACTGATCTTAAACTGGACATCAATGACGTGCCTCAAAACAGAACTCTAACAAAGGTATCTTTTGATTTTTTTTTTGTGACCACACAAATTATTTACTGGCAAGTCATGCTGACAATATTTTTTGCCCTTGTCCCCGCACATATATAAACTAATAACAAATATTGTATATTCTGTATCTGTGTTTGTGCTTTTTTTTAGGTGTGGTACAATCCAGAGGGTTACCACACTATGCCAGCTTACCTCAACAGCCTCAACAACTTCATTCTGAGGTCCAATCTCCCATCATACAAGAACCCAGAGCAATATGGTGAGCAAAAGATTCATAATTTGTCTTTATTTATAGTTAAGAACTTAATTGCCTAACAGTATCACATACCCTTCAGTTGAAATCCAAAAAGTTAATTTATTCCACAGAGAAGCAGAAATGTAAAGTAGGGTTTATATAAAAATATATTCAAATTATATAAAAGTTATAATTGATATTGCTACAGCTACATTTTAACACGGACAGTTGCTGTAATTTTCACAGTCTTCAGTCCAAGCAATGATTAAAATGGAAGAGTCACCTCAGTGATTAATTTGCATAGCATACATACAGTGAATTGAGGGCTTTGAACGTGGTTTGAAATATATTTTTGTGTAAAGGACACAGTATTAATTAGGGTTGTGATTATTTTTATTTATTTCCTCCAGAAATATCTGTGTCCAGCTATCCTTACCCCGGCCAGGTTCTAAGTGAAGATGTGATGTAAGGAAAACAAACATTTTGTCTATTTTACTGCCTTTGTCATGAATTTTTCCTTCACAAATTTTCTTTGAAAAGGAAGCTTTTTTAAAATGTCTGTTAGTGAGATGCTTGAGAAATTGAATGGCAATCAGAAGAGTTTGGGAAATAATAATGTAAATTGAGAATACCCTGAAATACTCACAGCAAAGATTACAAAAGCAAAGAAAAATAGAAATGTTTTTTCTCTAGAGTGTGGTCCAGGGAGTGAACTGATTCAGTCCCAGTTTACAAATAATGTTTGTTAAGAGCTACTTTTGAATCCAGTAATAAAAATGTTCTGTAATATGCACTAGCTTTTTATCACCATTCAGAGACACGTGGGTCTTGGTCAATGCCGTAGTGCAATTCATCATATTATGGAGAGGATTACCAAATTCAAAAGCTCATCATCATTTGCTTACCTATAAGTGGCCTACTGGTGTCTTATCAGCATTTAATAAGGGTCACTTTCATTAGATGAAAAACAGGTACTATAATAATATGTAATATAACGAACTGTCTTGTGCAGGCTATTTACGCTGTTCTGCAAAGCCCAGAGACAATGTGAATTACTGGGCTGAAACGGTTCACTTCTGTTGATACAATTACTGTTCTGCTGTTTGAGCAGGCTTGTAAATGAATCACCTTTTTCCGTTGAAGTAATTTTTTGTGTTAAAATTCCTTGTCCCAGTTCAGAAGCTTATTACTGATAATAACTCTTTATTTTCTGCCAGGGTACGGAGTCTGGTCAGCATCCTGGTGGTCCTTTGTATTCTTACAGGTTACTCTATCATGACAGCAAGCTTTGCCATCTATGAGGTCCAAGAACATCAAACTGGATCCAAGAGGCTACAACACATCTCTGGCATTGGAGAGCCCATGTACTGGATTATCAACTTCTTGTATGACATGGTGAGTTCTCAGTACACCACTGAAAATCCTATCCATCTCTTCTTCACTCAGTGGTATTTCCTTAAAATATATTGTAGTTCTTTATATTTATATAATGGCAGTTTGTCTGATGGATTTTGATTGTAAAATTAGAAATAAGTAGGAAATAAAATGAGACTGTAGATCAGGGGTCACCAGCCTTTTTGAGAGCTACTTCGCGGGTAAGCCATACGAAGGGCTACCAGTTTCAAACGCCCTCCTAAACTTCATGTATAATAGACATGTTTTAAATGCTTTTTTTTAGATATTGTCATTTTCAAATCTATATAAATGCAAATGTGATTAAAGAAGAATAGCAACAGGATAAAATTACATTTTAGACGCTGCTCACTGGTGAGTTGTGCTATTTTTAGAACAGGTCTGCGGGCGACTCATGTGGCCCTTGGGGGCACCCTGGTGCCCGCAGGCTAATAATCAATAATGATACAATACCAAGACAGTTTCTTTTCTTAATTCAGTATAATGCTTTTTTACATTGGTATGATGCATTGTAGGGGAAAATAAAGTCCTGCTTGTTGATGAGAGGATGGTGTGGTGTTTTTTCCACAGGCTCTGTACCTGATCCCTGTGGTACTGTCCATTGTCGTGATTGCTGCCTTCCAGATTTCTGCATTCACTGCTGGACAGAACCTGGCTGCTGTCACACTATTACTGCTTCTCTTTGGGTAAGGTCTCATTCTCATCTGCTAAGGAACCATACTGAAGTTTGAATAAGGCCCAGATCACAGCTGTTTTTCATTTACTCAGTGGAGATAGCTAATGTGAATTTTATACATAAATTAGATCATAAGTATTATCAGTTCTAGTATGGGGCCAAAAAGCATATAGATTTCACACCCTATCAACAATAGCACTAAAAAAACAGCTTGAAATGTGAGTAAAAGCTGTTAAGACTGGGTTAACACTGTCCAATTTACAGATTACTCATACCGATGAACAGACTACCATAAACGTTATTATATAAAAAATTTGGCTTAAATATAATGGTTCGTAATAATGTATATATGCATTACTTCGTGATGCTTGTGGAAGCATTGCATACATACTTTTATTAATACTGTATAATTATTGTTATGTACTGTATTATTATTTTTGTGTATTTTAAATAAGGATTCACCAAAAAAAATGAAGAAATTGGATTGTTAGAAACCATCTTGGTATTTAAATCTGATTTATCAATTTTAAACCAAAAATGAATGAATGAATGAATGAATGAATAAATGAATAATAGCCTCTTTCATGACCTTTACCTTCTCACCTTCATTATCCTTCAGCTTTGCAACTTTCCCTTGGATGTATCTGCTGTCAGGGATATTCAAAGATGCAGAAATGGCTCTCATCACTTACATTTGCATCAACCTCTTTATCAGCATCAATACCATCATTTCCTCCTCTGTAGTCTATTTCCTGTGGAATTTGAACAACCAAGCTGATCAGGTGAGAGAGAGTAATTAAGAAATACTTAATCGTGTTCCTTCTGTATAATGGTTATTTGCACATATTTCCTTTTTATAAGTACAATTATAATTTATTACTTCATACATATTTCTACATACATTTCAAATGAAAAAACTCTTAAATAGGTAGCTTAGTTGATATTATTTTCAGAATGCTGATTCTCATAAAAAAATAATTTAATACAAAATACTTGATTTGAATGATTTATAAATCCATGACTCCTTTTCCCCAAACTGTTTTTTTCTCCTACAGAGTGTCTATGCAGTGTATCAGATCCTCAGCTACGTCTTCCTCATCTTCCCCCAATTCAGCTTTGGTAATGGGCTTATGGATCTGGCACGGATGGATATGCAGGTGCAAATCCTGGGTGCCTTTGGTGTGGACGCCTACCAAAGCCCCTTACGCATGGATACACTGGGCTGGAACTTCATCTCCCTGTTCCTGCAAGGCTTTATTTTCTTTACCCTTCGCTTGCTGCTCAATACTTCTTTCTTACATTATATTAGGTAAGCACAAAAGTAGTGGAACAATAATAACTGAAGTAGTTTTTCCTATGTCCCTATATCAATATGCTAAAACATGGCATTGAAGGTTTTGAGGAGATTAAGCAGTTCAGCTTAAGAACATCAACCTTCTCAATCTCTTCCCCCATAGAGGACTCATATCTACTAAGAAATCTGCGCCAGACGCTAGCTTGAACGAGGATGATGATGTCATGGCTGAGTCTGAACGTGTAGCCAGCGGAGCAGCAAGTAATGACTTGCTGCAGATAAACCACCTGAGCAAGGTCTACCAGCACATGCGCAAGAAAGTGCATGCAGTGAAGAAGCTCTCTGTGGGCATTCCTGCTGGGGAGGTCAGTTTGGCATCCTCTTCCACCATCTATCAGGGAGGAATCTGAGACAGAATGCTTGAACAGCCTAGACTTAGAATACTGCAGCTAATGGGTATCTGCTTCAGTCTGTTAAATCTTCTTGCACGTTAAATGTTTCTGAATGCTTCTCATGCAAAACATGGTACATGATGTTTTGGTTCTAAGGAGGACAAATGTAACGCTAAACATGACTGTTTTTAGTGCTTTGGGCTACTGGGGGTGAATGGAGCAGGGAAAACGACCACCTTTAAGATGTTGACCGGTGACATCAACCCCACAGATGGGACAGCACAGATCCGTAACTGGGATGGGTAAGCAATCTACTCCAATTGTGCAATAATAAAAAGACATGGAAAAATAAATACAGACGCTCCTCTACATGCGAACTTTCAACTTACGAACTTTCACACATATGACCGAAGAGGACTGTAAGTCCAGATTGTGTTCCAGGGGCTGCCGTTTCCTATCTTCAACAACAATTTTTTTTCTTTGCGCCAATTCCACCTACAGTAGTATGACTTCTGGCCGCTACTCCCGCTGTGCAGCAGCGTAGCGTGCGTACTCCCTGCATCCTAGTTCTTAGGGTATACATCCTAGTTTTAAGGGTATACTTGCGTATACTCTTAAAATGATGTTGAATAATGAATTACGAACATTTCAAGTTACGAACGGCCATTCAGAACGTAACTCATTTGTAAGTAGAGGAGCGTCTGTACATATTTCGGGATATCTTACATAAAATTAAAGCAGTTTTATCCCTTTAAGCAAGCTTTATTAACATAAAATCCATAAATGCAAAAAGTTTCCACCATGGAGGGTGTACAGCTTAGAAGGTTGGGATTGTGTGCTTGTGACTGTAAGAAAGCAGGTTTGCATCCTGTGGCTGGCAAAGTAATTAGATCGCTGTTTGGCCCTTAATCCCAATGTTAATGTAATTGTTTGAGGGTATTAATATTACTGGATGCATATGAAGCACCGGGGCTATATATATACTATATAGACAAAAGTATTGGGACACATCTCTTAATCGTTGAATTCAGGTGTTTTATTCAGACCAATTGCCACAGATGTATAAAATCAAGCCTTGCACTCAGGTTTACAAACACTTGTGAAAGAATGGTTCATTTTGAAGAGCTCAATAAATTCAAGTGTGGATGGACTGTCATATGATGCTAGATATTCCACAGTCAACTGGAAGTAGTATTATTGCAAAGTGGAAGCGTTTAGGAACAACAGAAACTCAGCCACAAAGTGGCTCAATGATGAGAATAAATATTCCTTTTCTGAAGGCATTTTTGCTGTTAACATGTGTTTGTTGTCCAAGTATAGATGTGACAAGACTATCATGCGGTCTGTTTGAGGTGTTTGGTTCTCTTTGGTTTTACAATGGTAGAAATGTGGCAATCAGTGCATATTTCAACACTGTCTTCCACAGCTCATTAAAGCGGTCCCCTTTGTGATATTCTTCAAAGGTCTGTCTGAGGGTTTTAGTAAAGTCACCTGCTTTGGTAAGATCAAGCTTAGGTGACTGGAGCATGTCTGACAAAAAGTTTGTTTGACCTATCACCTTTCTGAACACTACAAAGAGCCCAAAGAAATTCAAGTCAATTTGAGACTGCAGTCCTCTTGCCTCAACAGCACTCTGTGGATTGGAATTATCTGAAATTTCATCTAGCACTCTAATTAGAACACTCAGCCTATCCATAAGGTTTCTACATGCAGCATAGCAGCAGGCCCGTCTAGTTTAACTAAGCTGGTTTTTGTCTGCATGCAAAGCAGTATGCTGCATCGTTGGACTGGGAATATTCATGGGCACAAATTGTACCACTCACTGTGGAAGCTTCTTCTTGCTGCACAAGGTTCTTGGGGGACCTGAGATTGCATTTACAGTTTGATTTCTCTCCATGCATTGTTTGATTAAGTGATTTAAGCAGCTTATGCATGTGGTGATGATTGCCTTTTTTAAGATTACAGTTTTAGGAAATGATATTGTGGGGGCAGCTGGGAGAGCAAGATCTACAGTAGAGGGGGCAGCTGCCCTCACTTGCTCTCCATGTAGATCCGCCCCTAGAGCAGCTGGATGTGAGCATCACATCACCAAGTACACTGACAAGCAGAGGTCTAAAGCATACCATTACTGTACTCTGGAGCAGTTGCAATGTGTCTGTGAAGTGATGATTCACACTTCTCTGTCTGACAGTCTGAGGGATGAGTCTGGGTTTGGCAGATGCCAAGAGAATGTTACCTATCTGACTGTATTGTGCCAACCGTGAAGCCTGGTGGAGGAGTGATAATGGTATGAGGTTGTTTTTCAGTGGTTGGTCTAGGCCCCTTAGTTCCAGTGAAGGGAACTCTTAATGCTTCAGCATACCAAGACATTTTGGACAGTTCTCTGATTCCAACTTTGCAAGGTCCATAAAGACATGGTTGGGTGCATTTGGTTTGGAAGAACTTGACTGGCCCGCACAGAGCCCTAACCTCAGCCCCATAAAACATCTCAAAGATGAAGTAAAGCGGAGATTGCAAGCTGGGCCTTCACGTACTTCATCAGTGACTGACCTCATAAGTGCTCTTCTGATGAATAGGCAAAAATCCCCACAGAAACACTATAAAATCTTGTGGAAAGCCTTCCCAGAAGAGTGGCAGCTGTTATAGGTGCAAAGGGGGGCCCGAGAATGAGATGTCATAAAGGTTTCTGTAGGTATAATGGCCAAGTACCACAATACAGTACTTTTGTTCATATAGTGTAAGTGCATAAAAACCATTAGGCGGGGATAGAAACTTGTGGACATTTGTGCCTCTTGGTATCTTATTGTACTTTATTTTATTGTTTGATCCTCTCAGTAAACTACCTCATAATATAAGATACTGGTAGATCAATGATATATTTATAATATAGTCCCCTGTCTTCTTGAGCTGTCTACCCCCTATAATGTGATGTTTGTATATGTATGGTCGGGTTGATGGCCTGCTTTTCGCTGGTACTTGTGACTAGTGACATGGTGAATTGCAACAGCAATAAAGGGAATTAATCAATCAATCAATCAATCAATACTGCCAGCTACCTCTTTATACTATTTTTGAATTGTTATTCAAATCGCTCTGTTTCTGTAGAAAACATAGGATGACATTTGTATAACAATATTAAATGTTAACTATTCAGCCTATCTATCTTGTTTTCTCCATGTGACCTCAAGGAGTATGGTGGACATGATAGACTGCTACAGAAGAGGAATCCAAATTGGCTACTGTCCTCAAGTAGATGCACTGGATGACCTACTGACAGCTGAGGAGCATTTGTACTTCTATGCCTGCATCCGTGGCATTGCCAGGAGGGAGATGGACCAAGTAGGATTTTTTTTGTATGGATATATAGCCAGCTAGCCTTTCACCTTTTCAAATAATATTATGTTACAATCATGTGATGTTAAATATGAAACTTGCAGACAATCTGACGAAATAATTACACTTCATTGTTCAGTGGTGGCTTTCACATGGAGCAACTGAAGTCCCTAACGTCTGTTTTTCCCGAGCATGTTTTTGACAGGCATAGTAGAAAAGGTTGTCAAGAAGTACCCACAATGGGTTACATTTATTTAGGAACAAGGGGGGAAATAGATGAGGGGATTTGCCCTCTTTTAGTCACTGGGAAAGACTTATTTCCCCAAGTTGGTGGGCATGGTCTCAATGGTGTCAATTTGAAGGTCAGAAGACAGCAGTCCTCTTGGAGTTGTCCTTGTCCAAGCTATCTGTCAATAAGAATGAGAAACTATAAGTAGCTCTCTCACTGATTGCACTCTCTGTGTCATTCTCAACAATGCACCTTGGTAGATGATTGCACCTTCCTCTCCTGGGGGGTAACTCGTCACCAGCCATGCGCAGTTTGCATCCAAAGAACTGCAATTATTGTCCAACTGTCTGGTTCTGAATACTGATTCCCAGAAGACTGTTGCATCATATGTTACTATTCTTTGCAGACTATATTCTGCAATACACATTGTAAATCACATCTGTACACCATGTTTCACGTTTCCAGCTGTCCAACTTTTAAAGTGAACGATTTCAGGTCAATGGTAACTGTCAAAATGTTGTAAATATTATGACTAGCTATTCTGATCTTCCCCCAGTTCAGCTTTGGTAATGGACTTATGGATCTGTAACAGTAAAGCATAAAGAAATGTGCTGAAGATAACAAATTACTGATAGCTGTAACTGTTTTTGTGAGTTGCCCAACAAGTACAGCATTACAATAACAAATCTTACGAAACTCACATAATTGTAACCTTTCTTCCTACTGCAAGTTGCTTTGAATAAAAGTGTCAGAATAGTTAAATGTAAAATACATTGTACTGTTCCTATGCTGTATATGCCAGGATCCCGTGGTTCTATACATGAGATAAGTTTTGTTCCTGGTCTTTCTAGGAGGTGAACCACCTACTGAGAAGGCTGGAGCTTAACTACTACAAGAAAAAGACCAGTAGCAGTTACAGCTGCGGTACCCGTAGGAAGCTGTCCACAGCCATAGCCCTCATTGGGCATCCTCAGATCCTGCTTCTGGTGAGGATGCCCACCTTCAATCAGTTTGTGCAGTAGCCTTGCAATCTATTTGAACAGCAAAACAATGATGCCAAATGTCTTGTGTAGGTACAGGGCTGTCACTCTCAGGGTAACACTGCTGTCACTTGCCATTTTCCCCAAACTACAGGATGAACCCAGCTCGGGAATGGATCCACGCTCCAAACGCCACCTTTGGAAGGTCATCTCGGAGGAGGTGAAGGGCAAATGTGCTGTGGTTCTTACCTCACACAGGTACCCTGTTTTCTTGTCACCTGTTTTTGTGACAATTTGAATCTTATGTATATGTATTTTGTGTGCACTATATGAACATTATTTTCATAAGCAGATTAGTAGTATGCCTAAAAATATTAATGAGGTACATACTATGATACCCAAATCTGTATCAATTTTATGATCTTAAGCCTTTTAGAAATCATAATGGTAATTTTATTTAAATAATTTAAAAACAATGCATGTGGGTATATATTTGACATAAAGATGTTTTTTAATAGTAATTACTGTATATATGTTAGCCAGTGGAATCTATGGCTGGTGATTACAGTATGATACATCTGAGTGCTGGCTGTATTTCTGTCTATACGGTATTAGTTTTCCGAAGCCAAGCATATCAAACTGAGCCACATTTTTACCTTGCAGCATGGAGGAGTGTGAGGCTCTGTGTACACGACTGGCAATAATGGTTAATGGACAATTCAGATGCTTGGGCTCCTTGCAGCACATCAAGCACAGGTAAGAGCGCTCTGCAGCACTACTTCAAGCAATAATAAATAATAAGGTATCAAGGGCTAATAAAAGTCTTTTTTTTTTCTCTATCTGTCAGATTTGGCAGTGGATTCACAGTTAAAATGTACCTGGCACTGGCCTCTAGCAATGTGGAATTCATCACCGACTTCATGCAGCTCCATTTCCCCAGCACATATCTGAAGGTGAGATCAGTAATTATAGGATTTCAACCTATGTAAATATTTAGTGTGTCCGAACAACTTACTAGGAGCTTACAAATTTCCATTGTGGTGCTTTCAGTTTAAAAAGGTCTTTACATTCTGTGGAGCTTGTACAGCTAACAATGTAGTCTATGAGTGTGTCATCACGCATAGTGTGTCTACGCTCTCCCCAAAAAGGACCAGCACTCTGCCATGGTGGAGTACCATGTGCCAGTAGCCCCTGGAGGTGTGGCTTACATTTTTGACCAGTTGGAGTCCAACAAGATCGCCCTACAAATCAAGCACTTCTCTGTCAGTCAGACCACTCTGGATGAGGTGAGAAAAGTCTACAGTAAACATCTTATCATAAAATTAATCTCAGATTAGTATTAAGATTCAATTACCAAAACATTATTAAATGGCGGTAGAGGACTTCGTGGGCTTGCTTATTTGATTGTCTATATGTTGCATTTTTATTTTTTAAATTTTTGTCTGTGTTACACAAAAATAAATACAGTGGTACCTCAGTTCTCGAACTCATTAGAACTCAAATTTCCTCAAAGTCGAACCAACCAGTTAAAAAAAAAAAAATGAACTAGAACTCGATCTGAATCTCAGAAGTCAAACCGTGAACGCCGACCTAAGATAACTTGTATGCGCGGGAAAATGAGTCATGCAGCATGTCTCTCAGCGGAAACATAGGGTAACACTTCAGTCTCAGCCTCGCATTCGCTGTGATAGCATCGTGCATGTTTACACTAGCGGAATACATATATTTAGACAGTAAAAATACATTTAGACAATGACAGTAACAATAATTATTATATATTAAAATATATTTTAAAATAAAGATTTCTTATTAATTATTTTAATATCATTAATAATAAACCATTAATACATTTCATTATAACAATATTGTCGTGGACAGAACGGAGACAAAGGCGATGACGTCAGTGTATTGGGGAACACGGGCTTTAATTACAGGTAAGGCAGGCAAAACACAGACGGACAATACAATGACCTGACTGGGGAAACAAACTGAAACGCGAATTAAATACAGAGGACTAATGACCACAACCAGAAACAGCTGATCACACGGTGATTCCACACGGGGATTCCACACGGGGTTAACGAGGGGGCGTGGCACACGGAAGGAGCGGACAATCGGGGCAGTACACATTGTTTGGATACATTTATTTTCTTACTTTACAAATTACTGTTTTGATAAATGTGTTTAGTACAGTATATGCTCTTCTTGTTTTATCCGGTTCATTTTGTGTTTAAATGCTAAAAAAAATTGGCCTGGAACCAATTAATTGGTTTTCCATTATTTCTTATGGGGAAAATTTGATCAGAACACGAACTTTTTAGGATTCGATCCGGAGTTCTGAACGGATTAATTTTGAGTTCTGAGGTACCACTGTACTATTTATAAAATAAAATGAAGCCATTAGCCTAAGTTAAAAAATACTAAGGACGTCACCACGCAGGGAGTAGGGCTGCCACTAACGACTATTTTGCTTTTTATTATGAGTGGGGAAGTAGCTCATGGATATTGGGTTTCATTAGTTTTTTTCTGGTGATGTCATTGTCTCTCTAGGTCTTCATAAATTTTGCTCTGGGAAAGGTGGGCATGGAATCAATTCCAATCCACAGTGAAGGGTCAGACTCTGACAGCCTGGACTCCACAGAAGATCTCGAGAACTAGAGAGGAAATACCTGTGCATTTTTTTTGTACCTGTCCACTATATTAGCATTAACTTCACACATTACAGAAGAAGGCATCTTTGAAATTCATTATTTCTTTAAAGCAATCATGTTATTTATGTTTGACAAATCATCTGTGGTAACTGTTTTGTTGTATCTTAATTTAGACACATTAGAATTTTATGTAAAATCAGCACTATTGATTTAATGCCACAGTCCACATATGCAGATTAGTTGTCAGTACAATAATGGAAGACTAATGACTGAAAACCTACACAGTTGTAACCAGTTGTAAGGGGTATTTTTAAAATAGAAATTGTTTATTATATGATGAAAATATTTGGAAAACATAGACTTTTAATGAATTTTGCCGTTAAGCATCTTGTTGATAGTATGAGCTCATTAAAGAAATTTAATTAAAGAACTCTAAACAGAAATGTTACTGAATAATATTAATTCACCTGTTCAGAATCAGCCTATGAACTGGCAGATTCATTTCAATCATCATTTCTAAGGACTTCATTAGGTAGGTTTCAGAGATTCTTTAAAACACATAGAACTCCATAAATGTATTTCACTAAGGATCACAAACATCCAACAATTATATATCTTGGACAGAAAGTATTTATTAATTAAAATGTGAAGAATATGTACTTATGAAGAGATTAAACAGCAAGCTAGTACTTAAACCAGTCATACCTTATATCAGGAGATCAAGCTATAAGGTGTCATGAGACGGACCTCCAGAACCCAAAAAACTACCTCTATCCTAGCTGCCAAAAGACAGGGGACTGAAGATTACTTGCAATATTGCAACTGTTGACTCAAGCCTGCCAGACCATGCAACCCCCCTGCAATACCACTTTCACTCCACCCTTGTACTGTGATTTTCTAATAAATGTTGCCTTCCTGGGGTGAGACTCGAAACCCGTGCTTGCTTGTGTGCCTCTGTTCCTGCAGAACACCAAAAACAGTTCTATGAAATATTAGGTACTTATTATGGATGTACTTATTTGGCTACATCCATACAGTATAATATTACAAAACTGCTTCTCAGTCAGGTTTTCTTATTTACCTCCTATGGTAAAAAACTTCAATCCACTAATAACAAGGTATTTAAAGAAACACCAGATTGTATTTCCATTCAAAGTTGATACACCAGGTGGTGGTAAAGAGCCACCCATATTATATGAATAAATGAATCAATAAACAGGTGCCTATCCAATAGAATAACTTGATGTCAACATTTTCAAAAATATATTATAGACTTTTCATATGTAAACAACTTAAATTTTATTCTTGTCTCAAGTATACGACACCTCTAACACTGCAGCTCACACTGATCGATCTGTGATGCGAAGTTCTATCACACAGTGATCCTTGTTTTTCCTGTATTGCTCTTGAAAAAAGCTTTAAAATTAACATACGTGTTGAGCAAATATTAGACAACAAATTGATCTACTATCCGTGGAGACTGCATTAAGGTTACTTCATTGAGAGAGATAAAGACCTGCTTGCAGAAATGTGCAGTTGCAGAGTATTGATTGGAACAAACCAATACACACTCTCAAAAGCATGATACTGTATATAAGCTTAATGGTATGTTGTACTGGAATATTGCCTAAATATTCATGAAAATATAAAACTGCTGCCCTATAAACAGCTATTAAACATTACCTTTGCATTACTGGCACTGGAGTTTACTGTAGTTCTTTAAAACAGGCCTCTTCACTGCCAACAAATAAACCAAACCGATAAGAATTTCCTAAATACTACTGCAATGCCCAAAACACCTATGCTCCAGAAAAGTAGAGAAAGGGCAGAGTAGCATTGTAACAGAAAAGAGATGTATTACTAGTCCTTAAAAGAACTCACACAGTAGATCATACATGAAGGACAGTGCTCTGCCTCTCCTACACAGGGAGGTCCCATGGTACACGACAGGGCGCAGACACGGTGGGAACACTGGTCATTGCACAAACATTATAAACACTAGCTACTGCACATGACATGTGGGGAACACATGGAACAGGGCACAGTTATTGATACTAACAAATACACAGGGCTATTTATGCCAGCAGCACAAGCATGATGGGAAATTGGCTCCCGCTAGAGGAAGGCAGCTAGCCAATGCTTCACTATGCAGTATAATTTTAATATGGGCATCTTCATGTGAACACACTATGTCTCACTGTTTTACTACATAAAACTGTATCATTTAGTCATTTTTATAGAATTTGTGTTCATTTAATCAGAAAAGTGACATTCGTAGGTACAAAATTTAATGTTAAAGGTATGCATTCAGCTTGCTGTAAATTTATTTTTTTCCGCAGGAAATAAGGTAATCACTGCCCAGCAAACAGCAATATGTACTTAGGACATGCTCTTTTGGTCTGGATGTCATCCTCAAAGGAGTTCCTCTGGACATCCTAGTGGAACATTAGAAAGTAAAGAAATGCTTAACAGAAATTTATATATTTTTAAATGCTATTCCAGGAAGCTGTCATAATTTATTATTATTTTTTTTTTAAGTATTTGTTTATTTTTCATAGTAACATGATTGTACTAAGGCCGTTCCCAATTAATGGACGTGTTGGATTTGTTGGGTAATAACCTTACAAGACGATGTAACCAAACAGCATACAATGATGGTGAAATGATTAAAGAACAGCGCTGGTGAAAACAACGTAACATTTTGAATATCCTTGAGGGGTCCCAATGCTGTACAAAATAACAAACCTTTCTTTCTTCAGGAAATGTTCAGCATTTATTAAAAAAACGTACAGAATTAATACAATTATCAATGTTACCCAAAAAGACTGTAAACAAATTAAAAGATGTTTGTGTTCAGAGAATGATTTATATACCACAATAAGAAACCAAAATGGTCTTCCTGGAACATGAATGCTGTGCTGCCATTTTTAAAATTCAAACCAGCAAGCTTAACCATTTCCTTCCAGACTCTTTTGCATACTGTGGTGAGTTTCATGATTTACTATAAACATTGTGAGATCTGGCAGACTGCAGCCGTTTGCTGTTTCAGCTCCCTGGCACTGACATGCTTTCGAGTTTAGTCAGAATCGAAGCTTGGTGAAGGGAACTTTATGGTGCCCAGGTAAATGTTTTCCCACACAGAAATGTACTGAGTTTGTCATAGTGTGCAAATGCTTATATGAACAAAAACAAGTATCTTAGTTTTGTTCCATGGTGAATAAAAACCTTCATACATATGATAAAAGTAAACTATATATCCCATTAGATAAAAGGTTTCAATATAAGAGATTTTTTTTGTTCAAATGAACCATGTATGGTATAGTTTATGGTTAATTGGCAAACTCAAAACTCATTTTAATTACTTACCCAACAAAGTACAAGAAACCCCTCTTTGTCTCACTTCACTGGCTCACTGTTGATGCTCACATCAAGTTCAAGTCCTTCATGCTGGCTTACAGATCCATCAATGGACAGGCACCTATATCCATCAAAAGGCTACTCAACACCTAAACTATATGGACCAAAGTATTGGGACACCTGGTAATTAACCTGCAGGAACTTTAACATCCCATTTTAAATACATAGGCATCATTATACAGTTGGTTCTGCCTTTGCAGCTACAACAGCTGCCACTCTTCTGGGAAGGCTTTCTACGAGCTTTTAGAGAGTATCTGTGGGAATTTTTGCCCATTCATTCAGAGGATCATTTGTGAGGTCAAGCATTTATGTTGTACATGAAGGTCTGGCTTGCAGTCTCCATTCTAGTTCATCTCAAAGGTGTTCATTTTGGCTGAGGTTAGGGCTCTGTGTTGGCCAGTCAAGTTCTTCCAGACCAAACTCATCCAATCATGTCTTTAAAGACCTTGCTTTGTGCACTGGGGCACAGTGCTGATGGTACAGAAAAGGGCCTTCCCCAAACTGTTCCCACAAAGTTGGAAGCATAGAACATGAGAAGATGTCTTGGTATACTGAAGGATTAAGAGTTCCTTCACTGGAACTGAGGCATCTAGCACAACTCCAGCAAAACAATCTCATACCATTATCCCTCCTGCACCAAACTTCACAGCTGGCACAATGCTTTCAGGCAGGTAATAGTCTCCTGGCATCTGCAAAACCCAGACTCGTTTGTCAGACTTCCAGACAGAGAAGTGTGATCCGTCACTCCACAGAACACGTTCCCACTGCTCCAGAGTCCAGTCGCAGCATGCTTTATATCACTCCATCTGACACATTGTGCTGCTCTTGGTGATGTGAGACTTGCATACAGCTGCTCAGCCATGGAAGCCCATTCCATGAAGCTCCCAGTGCACAGTTTTTATGCTGTGGTCAATGCTGCATTTTAGTGCTGCATTACTCTGCAGTTATTGAGTCAAAAGAATATTGGTGACTTTTACGCACTATGCGCTTCAGCACTTGGCAACCTCACTCTGTTACGTTATGTGGTCTGCCATTTTGTGGAATATCTAGCAGGGAAGAAATTTCACAAACTGACTTGCATAGGTGGCATCCTATGACAGTATCATGTTTGAATTCACTGAGCTCTTCAGAATAACCAATTCTTTCTGACTGCATGGCTAGGTGCTTGATTTTATACAGTGGGTATAAAAGTGTTGTGGGGTACATTTATTCCACACAATGTAATATAAACATAATCCACCCACCGCCACACACACACACACGCACACACACACACTGAGAGAGAGAAGAATCTGTTTAAAGGTTACCTATCTGGATATAATATGTAGATATGTTCCTTTAAGTAGTCTTTCATTTTTCTTAGAAATATATCTTACGGATTTTCTTTTTATCTTTTCTATCTCCTGCAGGTTAATGAATATATGTGTAGCATAGAGAACTTAGGAAACATTTAAAGAAATGTAACCATTTGTGTGTTTGTTAGTTAATGGCATGCATTTTATCGAACCTGTGTGTAGGAAAACAGTGCCTTTTTGTTAACACTATTTGGCAATGTCTCCCCCTCTGCATTCCTGAGAATTCACCTCTTACATCAAAGGAATGAATTCATATGTGATTTGCTGAAATATCAAACAATGGTAACAATCACAAATTGTAACATACAAATGTTTAATTGAGACCACTACTCTAGAAAACCGATGGCACCTCATGAACTGACCTAGGATTATGATGTGCTGTATGGATTTGGAATTTGATTCGTTTGTGTTTGCTGGAATTTGTTGGATTTCGAATTACCTAAATGTGTTGATGTCTGTCAATGTATAACATAACCGTTCATACTATGTACCAATCGAGTAACCTACACATATGCACAAATTTACACTGGACATTTTAGAGGCACCAATCTATCCCTCTGGGTGGGTCCAGAACCACCTGGGGTCAGCCATTCCACCGCTGGTGAGGACGAGACAGGAATCTACAGGGTAGGCACCACAGGCCCATGGGAAATCTGAGGGCCTGTGGGCACTGGGATGGTTGCTAGCATTGGGTCTGGGGGACACCAATGACATCCATACCCCTGGCAAACCCTCCGGGACAGGAAAAGATGGGGACAGAGCTGAGGCTTACTACTGCGCTACCATGGTTGCCAGATAGAAGCAGGTGTCAGGTGAAGGGGCAAGGGATGCAAATCCCAGCATGAAGGTGCTCCTGGCGGAGCCATGGGACCATTGAGTAGTGTTGGTCATTCTGGTACGGACAGGAATGAAGACTACCCACGTCGCAGCTCCAATAAGTAAGGGATTTTATTTTTACTCAAAGAAAAAATAAACAAAAGGAACCGTGAGGGGTCAAAAACGAAACAGGTGAATGACAAAAACTAAGGCAAGGAGCAAAGCAGAAACAAGAATGGCAGCAGAACAGCAGCAAACACACAATGACTGCCTGAGGAACAGCGCTAGGGCAGGAGCTTAAATACAACCCCAAATCAGAAAAAGTTGGCACGGTATGTTAAATTA